TTCCTTCTACTGGTGACCACACATAAAAATCTGTTGTCTTGCCACAAAAATACCTAATAAAGAGTGCAGTTTAATCTCATTGGTTGATGTTGCAGTATATAACACAAGAAATAATGTAAAATTAAACTACATTTTTGCTCGTGCAATTTATGTCATAGAGAATCGTAGTGTTATTTAAAACCAGGTACATCATTAGGGCAACCATCCCCCAAGCATGTTATTTTAGGGAAATGTACAGTGTGTTCCCACTGTTGTACTTTAAGTCACCTACAATAAAAAAAACCTCATATTTGAATGTTTTTTTTTCAAATTACTTTACATTGGTATTTGCCCCCTGGCAGTGCCACGTTTTCCACGCTCTTTGTTTGAAAATCCCCTTAGTGTTATTTTTGAAAAATGATAAAGATTTGACTCCTATGGACTTCAATAATGTTCAGATTAAAAAAGCTTGATGACTGTCCAAGGAACCAAATCCATTTATATTTGGCTCATCATTAGTAATATGAACTGCACAATGTCCTGGAATACCTATTCTGCCTGGAATTGAGCTCTGGGCCCCTTTTGCATGAGTTCCCTCTGGAAGAACCCAATCAATGATGATGGTAATGTAATTTAAAGTCAGCATAACTACATACCCAAATACTTGTAACTCTCCATAGAAATTTTCCAGAGCGTATGTATGGATGCCTGATAAGCCTAGCTGTTTTTTTTTAATTTCCCATTCTGATCAAATATATTTCATTATTGTTGTTCCAATTGTACTATGGTTACTTCACCCAACACATTTTATGTCAAGATTCACTGGTAGGTTGCTAGTGGTAACTTGGAAGGCATCACAGGTCTGGGAAGATTGCAACATGGGGAGATTTTCCTATAGGTAGATAATATTTCAAATAATTTTTTGGAAAAATATCAAGATACATACAGCATGTACAGTCATACAGGCATTTCACAGTGCGGTATGAAACATCACATTGAGTGATTTAAAATTGTGTGCAATAAGAAAATGTGTAAATGTGAAGAAACCTACAGCATCTACAGTCAGATAGGCATTTCACAGTGTTGTGTGAAACATCATATAGGGTGCATTAAAAGCAAGTACAATAAATAAATGCTTACAAAGGATAGTACACACAGCCACATCAGATGCAGTGAAAGAAATTAGAACATGAAAATCCAACAAACAAAATCTGTCATTCATTAGAGCCTGAGAGTGACCAATGTGAAAAAAGAGGTTCAAAGTGTCACCAGTTGAACAAAGACTACCATACCTCAAGAAATGGGTCTAATAAAAAATAAATGTAACCAGTGAACTTTGAGCACTTAATTAGGGAATGCAATGGGATATTCTTTCAATTAATTTTCCAAAAGTCTCATTTATTATTGAATACAGAGATTTGTTCCTTGATTGTCTCCATTCTGGTCATGACCTGAGCCCTAGGAGCTACCTAGGAGGAACAATTTAGGGCTATAACCCATTGAGCTATGCTGATTAAAGTATGTAGCAGCCTTTCATGGGATAGAAGAACATCTGTTATGAGAGCAACTAAAAGGCACATGGTAAGGCCAGGTAAGAGTAATCTGGAAACATATGGAAAAATATGGGCAGTTGTAGATTTATTCTGTTACCACAAAGGGTGTACTTTTGTGCAGCTCCAAAATATAGGGACATAGGAGCCTAATTCTGGGAAACCCTGAAATCAGTGAGCCAGGACGGATGAATTAAAGGCAGAGGGGGTGGAATACATTTTGGAAGGGGCCATATACCATCTTGTAAGCAGTTTTAGAGCTCACTCCAAAACCAATATAGTTCTAGTGCATTTTCAAAGATTTCTAAGCATATATCCTCTGTGGATAAAGAGGTAGATAATTTATTAACCACATTTTTCCTAAATCAGCACCACATGACAAAATTAGAGGGTGATAGAGAGTTGCTAATTTTTCAGCAACATCAATACTGGTTAAATTGCTCAGTTCACACCTATTTACAACAATTGGACTAATCATTTGAAGAAGTCCAACTCTCTCAATCAGGACACAGATAAATAGAAGTGTATCAAATTAAAATGTAAGTATTAAACAAAATCAGGAGGTAGAAATCTAATGATTAAACATCCTTGCATTGTATTTAATTGACATTAAGTAGATTTTATTTTCTCAGAAAAAGTGACATTACACTTTAAATTTAGAAATGTATGCACTATTGATTGAAATGAAAGGAGTGCCTGATTTTTTAGGGTGAGATCCTATTCGATAGCTTGTGGGCAATTCACATCTTTTCTTTATAGCACACATTAGTTATGTGGATAAGATAAAGCAAATTGGTGTTATCACAGACTAACAGAAGTCTCCTCTTCAAACTGATACACATCACTTCAGGAGGGTTTGTAATGGTTAATCTTAAAATGGATAAAGAAAATATAGATGAACAATAATTCACAAGACTCTAGGGGAGACCTCCCACAGCTAAGATGTTAATTAGATGAAATGCAGCAAAATAAAGCTCAGGTTTTTACACTTCTACCAATTTATTTTAAATACCTACGAGGATAACTTGACATTTACCTGCAATGTATGTGAAGAATTTGACTGTTTTCTTTCCCTCATTAAAAATCAAGCTTCATGTCTTCAGTCCCACATTAACCTGAGACCTAGACAACTGGAAGATCCTAACATTCAGCATCAGAGGACTTTTGCTAATGAAGACTTTTTTTCAATTTTCTAGTGAGGGTATTGCTCTTTAAATAAAGCCTGCTATCATTGCTCATCTATGTCCAAAGTCTCCAAAGATCTAATTATTTGAACAGCACAACAAATTGACTGGAAGGATCATAAATAAACACAATTGTACTTTTTCATTTTCAGATATAGCAATTTTATTTGACTTTTACAGAATTAAATATTTATACAAATAATTTATAGTTACAGTAAGTAGGGTTTTTTTTTTAAGCTGCCAAAAAACAACACTTATGTTTAAAACATGTTTTATTTATGCCTTCCAAACATGGTGAAACCACATAAGAAGAGTAAAATAATTTGTTTCAGTACTGCATGATTTTCATCATAAATGTAACAGGAAGTTTATACTTGCATAACCAACCTAACCTATCTATTAACCAGCAACCCAAGTTACATTAGAGCATCATAAATAGTATAGGTGGCAACCTTTTTTATACATAAATGTTGCTTATTAGCACCTTAAAATCCCACTTATACTTTGTATACAACAATTTTTTTCTACTATTTATTAGTTCTGTACTCCTGTGACCCAGATTCAGCCGACAGCAGGCTAAAGTCCGTTGTTGGCTGACATCACTCAGCTGGTCCAGAGTCTGTAGAGATTCAAACTTTCATGTCAAGATCCATGCAGATGCCTGGACTGGAATCTGGCTCAGCCTCTCAGTGAGGAGAGCCTGAGCCAGTTGCTTCAGGCCCTCCACAGCTCGGTTGTCCAGTGAGCAATGGAGGGGCAGAGCAGAGAGCCAGTGACTGGCAATTCACTGAAGACTGAAAACTGAGCAATCAGCGGTCTTTGATTACTCAGTTCTTGGTCTTAGAGGTGGTGAGGGACAGGTGAAGCATTGGTGAGTATGTAGGCTTGTTTTATTATATTCCCATACTAATCTTTTAAAATGAAGCCTAAAAATATATGCCGGCATTTAATAACGTGGTTGCAATGGTTAAAGGTTTTTTACCTTTTTTTGTATTCTCTGCAATAAGGTAAAAATAACTTTTCACGCTCAGCTCCCCCCACTCTCCCTTAATACTTACCTAAGCCCAATTTTATTCCAGTGCTGTTCCCGAGAGCAGCAGCACTACTCTCTCTCCTCACAGGACTCAATGAGATCAGTGGAAGCCATCGGCTCCTGCTGCTGTCTATCCTGTGATGAGGAAGTGGGGGGGGGGCAGGATCAAACTGCACACTCATCAATAGACGCACACAGCTCGGCTCAGGATCCAGTCTGGACATCTGTCGCCATAGCAAGTGCTTACTATGGGGGCAGATACAGAAGAGAAGGAGCCAAGATCACCAGCAGAGGACCCCAGAAGAGGAGGTTTGGGACCACTGTGTGCACAGAGCAAGACAAATATAACATGTTTTAGATTTGTGTTGTTTTGGATACAATTTGTGTTGTTTTGGATAGCGCTTATGTGCAAATCAAACAATTGTTTTCAAATCTGCATATAATATAATTTAAAGCAAAAAGTTGTACTTGTGAAACAAAAATGTAAAACATGTTTGTTTAATCCCATCAGCAACATGGAGAATATGATGAGAGAAAACTAATTAGAATTATCTCAATTTCTTTTTTCCTAGCATTTCTTTGCAGGTTTGTTATTATTCATATGAAAAAAAACTATAGTTAAAAAAAAACTATTTCATTTATAAAAAAAATTCAACAAGCTTTTGTACCATAAACATCTTTTCAGTGTCTTTATAAAACAGACAAATGGAACAATAGACTTTGCAATTTTTCTCGAGAAAGCTCAGAGTTAGAAACTATCTTCTAACTCACAAATGGGAAAAGAAAAATATTAGATATCTAATTCTGATGAAATCTGACTGTTTTATCACACTCATTATGACTAAATCACTCTGGTTTAACCATAACTCTTAAGCCATACCCACGTTTTGTTGCAGCACACTACAATGCCATCACTCCCACCCTGTTGACTTTTCCATGAACAAAAGTGTGGCAACCCTAGACACCAGCAATGACTCAGATTTCAGTGTATTGCATCAAGCTGGCTGATGTATGTGCTGATGGCACAGGCATCATTTTACTACTCTCTCACATGCAAATATATGTTTAGGCCTATAGAGAAGGCATGGTATGTTGTAGCCATAAATGGTTCTTGCTTAGAGGAAGAATATACTGTTCAAATTACAGTGTTACTAAACCCACAACAGTAAAATCAGTCTGTATATGCAGTAAAGCATGCTTGTTATATTCACTGTGGAACCTAAGGGGTTAATCCTCTGCACTGTGTAAAAATACTGTTTGATCCTGACTTCTCTGATCCTCCCTTCTTCCAGTGCCCCCCTTGTATCTCCTGAGACATATTGTGTGGAGACACTCTGCACATGCTCAGTTTGGTGCTTATTGCTAGAGAGGTTTTTTTCTCTTTATAGAGTGCTTGTGATCAGCACAGAGCCAACCAGCACTGTCCACACAGAGGCCAGGGGTTCTGCATCCTCCTAGAGCAGAAAGAAAACTCCTACAACAAGCTTTAACATGTGCTCTGCTGGACACTGATAGAAGTCACAAGACTGCTTTAAATGCTGATTAGAAAAGGTATTTATCAGTTTATATTTACTAAAATAATTGTGCATGTTTTCTGTTTATTGTGGGAGACCAGATAGAGAGAATGCAGGGTCCTGGGTTTAGTAACACTTTAAGTTGTAAAACTAATCACTTTTCACCCTCTGATGAGCATCAGTTCAGGAGAAAGAAGAGGCACACATTGGAATTTATCCAAAAGGGTGATGTGAATAGTAATATAATTTCTGAGTAGGGTGTCAAACAATTAGGAGTTTAATCATTAAGCCCAAGAGATGATACAAAATGAGAAGAAGGAATTCATAAAACCCTAAACTGTATGGAAGAAGTTCACTATCCCTGCTTGCTAAACAGCACCAGACATAAGAGACAAGACCCAAACCTACTTTTGACTATAGGTATGTAATGCCTGGTCACATGTTTGGCATTTGATGTACTTTCAAATAATGTCTTAGGCTCACATTACTTGATTTGTGAGTGTATTTCTTGACATATTATGACACATTATGCATGCTGGAAATACAGTATGTGTTAGGAACAGGGTAGGTTTCCTCATTCCTGCATAGCCAAAATAGGCCATGGCCTATTTGATAGCTAGTGACACATTTTCATGTACTATGAAGGATTCCAGAAATCCAGTCAGTGCAATCTAATTTTTAGTTTTTAATTTACATTTTTAATTTTAATCAGTTCTTAATTGATGCAATCTCTGCATTGCCTATTTTGTTGGTGGTACAATTTATTGTATACTTACAATTCCCACACCGTGATGGGTGAATCTGCTTGAAATCAATTCACCTATAGTTTTGCAAATCGTGTTTGAGATTTAACAAACAGGAACCCATTGGCAATTCACACTAATGTCTATAGAGGGCAAATCTTGGTGATAAATTCTAACAATGTTTAGGACTAATAAGGAAATGATGTACCAAGGCAAAAAAAAAAATATATATATTAATAATAATAAATACCCGAGAGGGTCTTTCATGTGGCTTTAAGGGCAACATTGAAAATACTTCACCAAATGCGTGGAGGAGGCTTTATGTTGTGGTTTATGTTGTATGCTGTGTTAAAGTGGTTATTATGCCAATTTGGCTGGTGTGGAAATGCATTTAAAGGACAAGTTTACCTTTCAGCAAAAAAACTATAAATGCAAATTTTTATGCAGGTAAAATAATGTGCATTTACTATTTGTTGTGGTAGAAGCCTGGAAGGCATTGCACCAGTGATCAAGTCTACTGCAGACCTGTCAGTGTATCTGCTTACTCATACCTCGTACGGGGAAGCCGATACTTACTGACAGGAAGAATCAATGAATTACAGCAGTGCTCAACAGCGCTGGGGTAGTTCATTGAGAACTACAAGCTGATAGACACTAAGGCTGTTAGTACTTGTAATTTCTCATTCATTGAATACTGTAAATAAGTGGCACGGCTGGTCAGGCTGGTGAAGCCCAACACTGCCGCATTCTTATTTCAATTTTGACAGCTAGCAGGGGGGCAACACAGTACTAAACAAGTGGGCAACACAGTGCCAATTTAGAAGCACGTTGAGCTCTTGTACTCTTGTACAGAACAAGATCCAAAATCAGGTCAGGAGGGAGCAGGGTTGATAACATGCTGAAGACCAGTCATCACTGACATGGAGTTAGATCATCCCTTAAATATCAGGCACTGATGAAAAAAAAGGAAAAAACAGCGCAAACATAGACCTTTACATGAAATCAATATTACAAAGTGCAAACATAAGTGAAAAATTGATCAGTGGTAAAGTCCATCAAAATAAACCAAAGTTCAAAAAATATTAGTGCAAAAAAGAAAAAGAAAAAAAGAGAAAAAATATTTTCAAATTCTTCTTCTAATATAGAGGAACTTCCACCTTCCACCCGTGAAAACCAATATCAAATGCACTCACCAGATAAAGGTGAAAAAAACGCCTCTTAGGAATTTTATGGGATCCTACACCCCTCTTTCGTATCCACTCTATAGGAATCCTCCTCTCCACCATAGGCTCCACCATCCGACCAGGGAGAAAAAAATCTCAGATAGTGTAATATTGTAAGACACCATTCATAAGTGAAATCAAGGATTAAGGTCACTCACATTCAATTCAATTTTTAAAAAAAGGCATATTTATTAGGATCAGCTTCTTCCAGATAAACAGTAGATGCAAGGCAACCTCCCACGGAATCTCACATCACAGCTCCAGGATACAGCAGAAGTTCCACAGAGACCAAACACACACAGATCCCAAAAAGATGGCCGCTGGAACGCACCGCTCAGCGTGCGCTCCACTCACCGGAAGTGACGTCAGACGTACTGGGTAACAACCGGCTCATGCGTCAACGCGTTTCGCCCCCCCCCCCCCCCATCGGGCGTTCTCAAGACGTCCATTTCCTGTCTGAAGCTCCCTTACATACCCAACAGGGACCCACCCCTCCGTTACAATTGGTCAAAACACATCCCCAGGATTATCAAAAAACCACTCCTCCTGTTATGTGACGTGAGAGTCCTTTACAAATGAGGCATATACCTACACAACTTAAAAACCTTTTTAAATTATTCCCATCACCACTTAATTTTCTCCCAGCAACAACATGTATATTACCACATGTCCTTAGTGGGAAAAACATAAATATAAATATAATTTAAAAATTGCCTACATATTACAAAAAACATTCTTTATTAAATGAGTAATGAATGACATCACTACTGAATAGTGATAAAAATAAAAATAAATATAAAAATAAAAATAATAATGGTTATAAAATAAAAATAAAAATAAAAATAAAGTTAGAATTAAAATTAAAATAAAATGAAAATAAAAATAAAAATAAAAAAATAAAAAAATATAAATAAATAAAAAAAAATATAAATAAAAATAAATATAAAAATAAAAATAAAAAATTAAATATAAAAAATAAAAATAAAAAAATAAAAATGAAATAAAAATGAATATAAAAATAAAATTAAAACAATTTTTATTTAATACAAATAATCAAAAAAACTATATGAAAATACATATGAAATATATGAAAAATCTATTTAGTAGTGATAAGACACACATAAAGAATTTTGAAACCTGGAGCTGTGATGTGAGATTCCGTGGGAGGTTGCCTTGCATCTACTGTTTATCTGGAAGAAGCTGATCCTAATAAATATGCCTTTTTAAATTGAATTGAATGTGAGTGACCTTAATCCTTGATTTCACTTATGAATGGTGTCTTACAATATTACACTATCTGAGATTTTTTTTCTCCCTGGTCGGATGGTGGAGCCTATGGTGGAGAGGAGGATTCCTATAGAGTGGATACGAAAGAGGGTGTAGGATCCCATAAAATTCCTAAGAGGCGTTTTTTTTCACCTTTATCTGGTGAGTGCATTTGATATTGGTTTTCACGGGTGGAAGGTGGAAGTTCCTCTATATTAGAAGAAGAATTTGAAAATATTTTTTTCTTTTTTTCTTTTTCTTTTTTGCACTAATATTTTTTGAACTTTGGTTTATTTTGATGGACTTTACCACTGATCAATTTTTCACTTATGTTTGCACTTTGTAATATTGATTTCATGTAAAGGTCTATGTTTGCGCTGTTTTTTCCTTTTTTTCATTGTTTGTGTTGATCACAGTGCACAGCAGCAGGATAGAACCTGTATTAGAGTGTTTTACTAGGCGCAGGAAGAATTTTTAGTTTCATCAGGCACTGATGCTGACTCTTGGCGTTCACACACATTTATACACACAACATGATGCACATGCACAAAAACTCAGATTTTTGCACACGAAGGCATTCCTGGCTAATGTTCATGCAGTGGAACAGTATGTGCATGTCTACATTTCTGAGCCATATAGCCCCCTGATACATACCATGCATTTCCCAAGACTCCATGGAGTCTCTATAAAACATTTCTCTTTTTAATAATATTGGGGTGTTGTGCCTAAAACTCTGTCAGCCCAGCCTCTGGTAAATTAGTTTACTTATTCTTAACTTTACCTTTTGCGTGACAGCTGTTTACAGTACAGCAGGCTTAAAAGTAATTGTGTCAGAATTACTGCTGTCTTCAAAAATACAAGAAAGGCTTCACATAAACTAGATAATTTATAACATAAGAGACAATCTCTCTGGGGAGGATACAGTTTTCAGCTTGAATCCTTTTGGGCTTCAGTTCCTTGCTTTGAGATAACCTTATTTGCTGTTTTTTCTTCTTTTCATTTAATTCACTATGGAAGGAGAAATAACCTTTCTTGTGCTAGGTCACCAACTCCAATTAAAAATTGAATATCCTCCTCTAAAATAGCATCAGCACCTGCTATCATGTGAATTATTGAGGTCTAAGATGGGCTATGCAAGTCATGGAGATAAGGCAGTGAAACACATACTTCTGCAGCAAAAAAAGACCCTAAATCTTAAAACAAATGCCAGCTTTGCGTATTGTTCAACATCTTGTTTATGCCAAGCATATAGTTTCATATAGTTTACAGCTATAATGTTCTAAATTAGTTACTCAACAAATCCTATCAAGTGTCTTATTTTAAGGCAGAGCAGTGTGATAATATTCATAATCAATCATAATCTAGTCCATTTGCTTAATGCAGGCCTTTTCTGTCCTTGATATGATGCTTTAACATTTCCTACTAGATATAATCTATCTACAGTTGACTATACAAGGTTTAAAGAGCTGGATCCCTAAAAGTGACAAGCCTGGTATAAAAAATTTCAGTGAACACAAATCTGTAATACTCATTGGCAATTGAAGCAAATAGTTAAAAAACACGGCAATCTCTGTTTTATAAGAATTTTGTAGCGGCCAGAAAAAAAAGTGTTGGGCTCCCACACAGCCAGGGTTAAAGGATAAATTCACCTTTTGAAAAAAATAAAAAATGCACATTTGCTTGCAGGTAAAAAATATGCATTTATGTATTTTTAATGGGCAGACAGTGTAGCAGTATGGGCAGGCAGTTACTGAATGACAGGAAGCATTGATGAACTACCTAGAATGCTCATCAATGCCCTGGTAGTTCATTGAGAACTGTAAGCCGTCG